GGAAAGAAAACAAAGAACCAAAACCAAACTAGAATTAACTCAGTAAGATTTCAACTTGCAAGCAGTGCAGTGGTACATTTTTCAAGCTGTCTCATAGCAAATCTTTTTAAAGGCCTCAAAATTTCACTTCAAGTTTCCATTAAGAAAACAACTTTTAAAAAGCTGAAGACACTTATTGTGTGCTAGGTCCCTACACTAATGGGAACAAGACTCATACAAAACAAATATGTTGTTATGTCCAATTTCACTAAACAAGGCTGAGCAAGTCAGATTCCTACTTCATTCACATGTACTTTAAAATAAAACTGTCATGTTTTGCCCATGCTTGCTTTCTAAATCCCTTCCTTCTGAGACCTCCTTCTGGCACACCTTTCTCAAAATTTTCTTCTTATGCTGAAACAGCTCCTCGTCAGTCTTCACAGACTGTGGAAGACAAGTATCACATGGACATATGAATACACATGTATATGTAATTTGGTGTGAAATGCTGTGTCTCTACACTTGTGTGCATGCTCAGCACGAAACAGCAGCAGTGAGCCCTGCCAAGGGCCAGCCATTCCACTTGCCTGATCCGAGTGTCCGCATTAAGCTCCAAAGGGAAATTTAAGCAACCTCAGTCAGTTAGAGGAATGCAATCAGCAGACAAGAGGTGCTGAACAGCACAGGAGACTAATAATACACTGGCACTGAAGGGAGCTTTTGGGGATAAAAGCTGGGAAGCAGCAGAGCAGGCTAGCATCTGCCAAGCTGCACAAACCAATTGTTTCAGATAGTATCTGCTAACTGTACTGGAGTTCTGAAACAGTACTGAAAAGATTTTTGGTTCCGCTGCACAAAAAAAACCCAAAAAACAAGCAACAATCACAACTCTGCAACCCCGAGGTTAAGCATAGATTATTGGATGGAAGAGGAAGATGAGAACACAAGGACATTGTACTTGTTAGCATGACAGGGTCTCACCAGCAGATGTAATTGTTGCCCAAACGTTGTGTGCACTAAGGCAATGATAGTAAGGTGGGGTTTGATAACGGGTAATGAGACAGTTCACTGTTTTGTATTCTCCACAGTCAGAAGAAGTCAAGCATAAAAACGGAGATCAACTGTTAGTTTTAAATGAGGTAAAAGGGTGATTAAGGGGCAGAAGACCTTTACCTGCAAATTCAAATTTAAGGAGACCTTTAAAAAGCTTTTTTTAGAGCAAGTCGTACTCTGTTACGTATTTGGTAGGCTTTTGTTTTTTACTGTTTCAAAGGCTTCATAGCTGTGGAAAATGGAGTAAAAAATAACTTACCCCAAAACAGACAATAGCTCTCAGTTCTATTAACACTGCAAGCAATACAAGAGCTGACTTTTCCAAAGGTAGCAGATGCAGTGTTTTGACCTTTACAGCTCTTTACTCAGGAGAGGATGGGAGCACTAGGGAATGCTACCCTGCAATGTAAGCTGTGATTCTGTCTCACTCGCTTCAAAACAGATGCCACCATCATGCTCTGTTAGCACTTAGCCTTAACACTTCTGTCTGACACCCAAGAAACAGCACATGATAATTCCCCACAGTTTCATTCCCTTGGAACCCCAGCGAATGATGTCCTTAGGAGGTTACAAGCACCCCAAGGGATCCCCACAGCTCTGTAATGAGTCTTGCAACGCACACTGAGAAGTGGGAGTCCTAATGAAAACAAAACCAAAGCAAAGGCTGGTATCTACACTTAGGAGCAAATACAGTATTTCCTTTTCACAATGGCATCACCTAGATGGGGAACAACCTTTCGGGTATTCGCACATACACCCTGAAAGACAAACTCAGTATGTGCTACAGAAGTTGAGTTTTTTCGCATAAACATTACTTAAAAAAATTTACAAGATACATTTTTTCACTAAACACAGTCACAGAAACACAAAAGTAATTTTGTTTACTCTGATTTTATCTCTACCACTACATGAGGGCTGTCATCTTCATTCTTGATTTCTATCTTCAAGAAGTCGTTAAAACAATTAAACACCCTCAGGCTATGACTTTATAAATGAAGGTCAAAGGTCAAACAAGACTTTTTATTAAACCTGTCCAATTAGTCAGTTGATTCATCTAAGCTGCATGTAAATGTGGCGCCACTTTCTAACAACTAGATATCTGAGAGGAAAGAAGGAAAACAAAGGCATGGCCCTCCGCCTTAGTCTATCGACAGCACAGCTCAAGTAAGCTACAGACCGAGGTATAGCTTCGTGTTTGCCCAAGAGCAGACTGGCTACAAGTACCTGGTCCATTAACACACTTCTAAATGCTATGTTACATAAAAATATACAACTGCATAACACAGCAGAACAAAGTTGTCACACCTGAGTTTATTAGCATTTCCTACAATGAAGAGGTAGACAGTGAACCAGGTTACCCGACCTTCTTGGAATGTCCACAGACATTTCTAATACAGCTCTCAGCTCCTTATCAAAATTATATCTGCAATGATACTGCTCTTAAAATCCTGCCTCTTGCCACGCTGGGGCATGGTAGAAGAGAACTGTGAATTTCCTTTGCCATTACACTCCACTATTTATTGAGCATGAACGCTTTGTTCAGCAGGGTCCCCGGGCCAAAGGGAGAATGAGGCTCCCAGAGTCCAGTCTCACCATCCATCTAAGCTTCCCGAGGGATCAGCTGCGGGTGCTGCAGGGGCCGGCTGTACTCAACCCTTTCCTCCACACACACACTCCGGTACTTTGCTCACATTAAGCAGAGCTTGTCAGGTCTACCTGTGAAAGAGCTGAAGCTCTGCTGAGAAAACCAACCACCCTAAAATACAGAATGGAAGAAGAGTTTTCTCCAGGGTCAACTTTTTGAACTCAGCTGGCCACAACACAAGGCAGGCAGCAGAAATAGGAGCCTGGAACACAGGGAGGGAAGCTGAACCAGCTTGCTAGTAGATCAGCCTTAGCTATCATGTGAAATCTCACTCTGAGAAAGCAAGGACAACTAAAATCTAACACCCATTGAAAAATGAGTACCATCTCTTAAAGATTAATAAGAAAACCCTTGAGCTAAGTCTCAGAGCAACAGGAAGACTGTCTATATTCCGGGAGTCAAGACTGTGAGGCTCTTTTGTCAGCATAGCTTTAGTCATGCAAGACATGCGGGTACACAAATGTCAGACAAGGATAGATAAAAGTACATTTAAACTTTCTGAGTCCACACCACTCTAGCTGCAGAACTCTGTGGCGTAGACTACACATACTTTAATTAAACAGATTTTAGTAGCCAAGCCCCCACTCACTCATGGAAGCAGCTTCTGTGCACTGACGCTTGCCCTGGTGTTACGTGAATTATAAAAGGGATTCATTTAAAGAAGAACTGACTTTAAGAGAGAAGCTCTCTCAGAGTGCACATGGTGAACAGCATTCTCCATTTCTCTCTGGCAAAGAGCATCTGTGAGCAGCTGCTATTACCTGAAGTTTTCTCACAAATGCCTTTGCTGCTCAGAAAGCAAACTGTACACGAGACACAGGTGCAATGGCCAAGTCCCCACATTGCTTGTATCCTAATCTGTTCTTCCAACTTCCCTGCAGCTGCACCTAGAACCGCTTCAAGTGACCAGTGCCGGACTTCACCAACACCACGGACGAGGACAGCTTCTAGTACAGCACAGGTGAAGCTGCTCCCTGTCTCCTGGGGAACTGAGGAATAGAGGAGGCAGCCTTTGCTCCTTGCAGAGTGCTGTCAGGCTGCGGCACACCTGAGTGCAGGTTTACAAGGCAACACACCAAAAGACCGGTGACTGAAGTTACGGTCCTCGGGCACAAAGCACCTGTAACAAAGTTCAAGTCATGACCCGAGCGATCATCCTGGTTCTTGTTCAGAAGACAGGCGGACGCGTACCAAACGCCCAGGAAACTCAGGGGTAAAGCAGGGCTCGGCAGGTCGCTCTCACGCAGGGATTCAGGAGAAACGCGCTGCCACTGCAGCTCCTGCTTCCCTCACTTTCCTCCCAAAAACTGAGTCTGAGTCCGAGCAGGCACTGCCTTGTACTCGAAGCATAGACATGCTTTACTCAGATTCATCGAGAGAGCATAAACAAACTCCGGAGAAGGAGCGAGCGCTGCCGAGCATCACCGTCCCGGGAATACACCTCCCGCGGGGCTGCCCGGGCAACCGAGCGGTGCCAGGCGGAAACAGCGAAAGTTCTCCCGGCGTTTCAGAGCCGCGCTAACAGCGGGGCAGCCGCGCTGCGCAACCAACGGCGGCGAGCGCGTGTGCGTGCGCGAGGTAAACAAAGCCCCACCGGGCAGCCCGCAACGTCCCCTCCCGCCGGGCCACCGCGGCCGAGCGGCCGGGCCCGCTGCGGGCGGCACGGCCCGGCCCGCGCCGCACCGGAACGGCACCTGCGCCCGCCACAGCGGGCGGCGGAGGCCGCGGCGGAGGCCGCGCCCGCAGGGCTCTCACCCACCTCGTCGCCCCACTTGAGCACGTCCTTGTGGCGGTCGCGCAGGGCGCGGTAGATGTGGAGGAACTGGAGGATGCCGTGCCGCCGCACGTGCTCCGCGTACCGCCGCGTCTCCTCCCAGCTCAGCGGCGAGCCCTGCGACAGCAGCCCCATGCCGGCTGGCTGGCAGGGAGCGAGGCCGAGGAAGGAGCGGAGCGAGTGCGCTCGGTGCCGCGGGTGCGCTCGGCGCCGCGGCGGCGGGACCGAGCCCGGCGCCGTGTCCGGCGAGGCAAGCGCCGCTCCGAACGCCCGGCCCTCGCCCCCGACTCGGGAGGAGGCGCCGCTCGCCGGCAGCAGGGGACATGGCGGCGGGAGCGTGTCCCCGGCAGGACGGGGCGCGTCTGGCCGGGCTGGTGTGCCTGGGGGAAAGGGACCCTTGTGGGCCTGAGGGCGCCAGAATAAAGATCCCGATGGACAGGCCCAAAGCGCGGCCAGAGTGCGAACGCTCCTGTGTGTTTTACAGATCAGAGCACCGGGCAATAACGTGGTGCTCGGAGTGGGTGAAGTCCAGAGAGGCCGTGCCTCGTGCCCGATGGATTCTCCTCTGCATCTCTCCGGCTGCACAACCCACGTGTTGTGGTGCCAAGCAGTAAGCCCAGCTCCTGAAGTTGTTGAAAACGAGTTTGTTACCCGGGGCTGTTCTGGAGGGAGTTGCAACAGCATTGTGTCAGGAAAGAGGATGTGGGGACACGTCAAAGCATGTGTTTTACAGTCCATAAAAAGTAGAAGGAAGGTCTATTAGTGCTAAGTCTTTACTAAATGAAGAGACCAAAGGCTGAATGTTAACATGAAGGGAAAGTTTCTCACTGCTGAGAAGCGGAAATTCATTACTCCTGGACCCTCATTGTTACATTCACAAAGCTCATCATCGGCTGCAAGGCTGGTATGTGATAAAACTGATACTTTGAGAATTAGTGAGGTATTTAAATTGTGATACAGCCCACTAATGGATAAATTGTATTATTAGATATTTCCTTTCACATTCCTGAATGACTACTTACAAGAACTGTTTGTCTCATTCCAGGATATGAGGTGCCTAAAGGATAGAATAAGCTCCCAAGATAATAGAATAACAAAACTGAAATGCATTAGTGGAAGATACCAAATACTAAAATAAAACAACTCAAAAGTATTTTAATGGCATACGTTTCTACACAAAAGGCAGCACTGACAGAGCAAGGAGTAATTGTTAAAATTACAATTTATAATAAGCTGGTTTTTAGGAGCTCATGGGTTTTTTTTAAAAAACGTCATGGTTTTGGCAGAAGTTGTACTGGCTGGCCTGACTGAAAGCAGTGCTGTTGTTGGTACTGTGGTAGATCTGAAGATGGCTGGTTGACTTAGTTTGGTGGACAAGAAAACAATATTTTCTTCTAGCTAAGAAATCCCATAGCCTTTTTTATTTTTGAAACATCAAGGGCCAAAAGTCTCACACTTGGCAATGGTAGTCTGATGAGGCATATCCCTCATGTGAAAGCCAAATTGTACTTTATTTCAGATCTGAGTGGACAAAGCCTTGCATTTTTGAGGGCAATTGCACCAAAATATCAAGATACCATATTGGTGCCATCATGCTGCCATCCAGCCTCAGCTTTTCCACAGCTTTGAGTTAGAGCTGAAGCACCTCAGGATCCTGGCAGTGACAAAAAGCACCTGAAAGCTAACAGCTGTGTCAGTCCCTTTCTAGCTCTTGGGGCAGTGAGCCTGGGTCTGGAGCAAACCTTGTATCAAAGTTAATGTTGTCATCTTACAAATCTGAGCCAAGGTGTCTCTGTTGTTTAGGGTCCATGCTCTCAGTTCACTTGGCTGACAGCAAGAGCCCTGTGTTACTGAGAAACTTTTCTGGAAGAATTGGGTGTTTAGTATAATCCCAGCTGCTTTGAGTGTGCTGGTGTATAATGCACTGTGAACATTTCCAACAACATACAAAAAATTTTGAAATTAAGATCAGTTTTATTATATTGCAAGCTGCTATTCCGCAGTCTGTGCTCTTCAGCTGACCACTAATGCTACTCTTTGACCTGCACTTCAAGAGCACATTTTCAGTGTCCTGTCTTTCTCAGTATTTAAACTCAGCTCATTTTTGTGTTCTTTTAGTGTCCATATCTGCTCTATTTCCAGTCCTGTGTGCTTAGTCTCATCAACTATTGAGCTAATACATTGTTTGTAACAGAAAATCAAGGTATTTTCCTTTTGCACCAGTAAAACTGATGAAGATGTAAACTTTTTTCTCACCCTGCAATCTCTAGCATGACAGCGTGATAAGTCAGCTCTGTTTATAAAGTGTTCACCACCTTCAGCTGAAGCTTTTTCCCCTCCAGTTCTAATGTATGTGTTCTGGCAGTGTGGGGTGAGCCATAGTGGAGGACTAAGCCATTCTAAAGTTGACAGCATCACATGCAGAAATGTTCATTTGCACATCACCTGAAATATTACTTCAAGACAAACCACCATTGTGTAATATCTGCCCACATGCTTAATGTTGTATAATTATTTCCAGTACACTGAGTATCATGTGTAATTACTTCAAATACACTTAATATGAAAAAAGCTTCTCTGAACATACAGGCAGTACTTTGGTTGATGTTATTAGTTTACTCTGTACCCATATGCCCAGCCCCAAGGCTTAACTAATTTTTCTGAGCAGTTCAAAGGAAATAGTTGAGGGAAAAGGCTGATGTACCAGTAATTTAGTAGGTTGATCGGAGGAGAATATGTGACTTGCAGCTTGCACAGCAAGGAGCTGTTTGACATGTTCCTGTCTTTCTCCACAGATGATAACTCACTTTTTGTTTTGTATAGCTGCAAAGCTATTCAAATCAGCTGCCACTAAATCTAAATAGAGTAGCTTGGCTCTTTGAGAATATACCCGCTGGGAGAGATGAAAGATATGTAGACTCATAGGTGAGGCCACTCCTACAGAATCCTTTCTTTTACTGGCTGTCATTAAAAGTAATAAGTAACGAGGAGACGTCTTGTGATGAGGCTGTTATTAGAAGGAAGAAAGAAGGATTTGTTTTACTTCATGAATCATCTGCAAAAAATTTTTAAAGCAGCTTTTTTCAAGGTAATTTTTGAGCTGGCGTTGCTGTATATTGTGTTATTCTCTGAGTAAAATGAAAAGACTTCAAATGAAACAATTGTCTTCCAAAGTTTTCGAATGGTATGTTTGGTAGAAAAAAATATCCTTTTTTTTTTTTACCAAATATGTTTATGCTTCCATGTCTATAATTTATGATATGCACTTGTGTCCAGTATAATTAACCTAGGTGAGCAGTACAAGCAATAACTGCTTCCTTTTGAGTGAGGAGAGTGAGGAGGTCTCCAGACATTCCCTGAGGCACTGGAGAGACCTGTGCTCAGTCTCAATTATTTCTTGATGCAGAAACTCTTGCTGACTAGCAACTTGGATTAAATGATCTGTCTGGGGAGAGAAGGAAGTCAGGACACTGAAAAGATTCAAGTGAAGGATCTTCTGATATGTCTTCCAGTTAAAGTCTTCCTGCTCTGCATTGAGGAATATGGCTAATGGGGACTTATTCTGGTATAACTAATAGTGCTTATTCCTCCAAGCCAACTTCTCAATTAGTGTATGAGAGACACTCTTGTGACTTGTCAGTATTGCTTTAAAATTTCTTTTTCTTGCTGTTGCCTGATGTAGAAATGACTGTAGTAGCATTATGTCATGAGTCTAAGTGGTGTATTTCTAGGAAGTTTTTCAGTGAATTTTTATTGATAACCATTAGTTTTTGAGGGTTGGAGTTTTTTACTTCAGTAAGGATGAATTGTGCATTTCATTCTATAAAGTTTCATGCATTTATGTAAAAAGTGAATGTAATCACATTGTTTCACCACTTTGGTCTTTATTAGCATGTTCCTTTTGCAAGGAACTTGAATTTCTCATTTCTGAGTAGCTCACATATTCTTTTGCTGTGTCTGTGGATAGGACATGATTATGGTGCCTTGACTGACGTGGGCATATCTAATCATGGCATGAATGCTGCTGGCAGTAAGAGCAGTTGTAGTGTGTGAATTGCTCTGTGTGCACAGTGCTGAGCTGCTCCCTCTCAGAGTGGTCTGGCATGGTGACTGATGCCCATTGCATCCTGTTCACCTTTTTGTCCTGCCACCACCAGTTCCCTTGGAAGTGCATTCTCCTACCAATTCAGCTGTCACTGTGTCTAAATCTGTCCTAAAGAGGCTCTTCGATGATGTGCACAAGATACAGAGTATTCAAAAGAAAGCAAGAACTTCCAAATTACTTTCCACTTTATTTTCTTTCCAGCACCTTCTAAGATGGAGATCCTGTATTATAGGATTATCTTTATATTTTTTTCTATAGGCTGACCTGTGGGTTTTTTTTTTCTTAGTAGACATGTTTGTAATATAAAATAAAAGAAGGCCAGGTGCTTGATAGCAAAGCTGAAGGCTACCTTCTCATCCTCTCTCCATGTCTAGTTGTTGTCTTTAATGCATCACTTAGTTCACTCTGAGTATCAGAAGCAGTGAAATTCTTCTTTAGACATAAGAAAAATAGTGGCTGAGTGCAAAGTCCTTCCAAAGACTCTGTTGATGATTGAGCTTTACAAAAGCCTGAATTGAGAGTGTGCATCTTAACGAAGCAACTGAGCTCCTTGGTTACTTGAATTCCCACCACAGGCAGGAGTGTAGGTGTGTGCACTTCTTTTGCACACATGTATCCTCTTGAAGGACAACACAGCTAAAAGTCCTAATTCCATCATCAACATCTCATGAAAAAAATCCACAAACCCACAAATATTAGTTAACTGTGGGTTGGAGCATTCAAAAGTTAGTTGAAAAGCAGAATAAATAAAAAATATTTTTCTCTTTGGGAACTGTCTCATCTTTCCTGCCATACTCAAGCTGTAGCATATTTTTTACATAAAGCTTAGCAGCTAAGAATAAAGTACTGATCCTTAGTGAAAAAGATAGTAGAATTCCTAAGTAAGATGCGTAAGTAGCAGCTTTTATATCTTTTTTAATATCAGTTTTCAGTCTCCAGTTTTTTTTTACAGGCTGGGAAATAAGAGCAGAGCCGGTGAGCTGCACTGCCAGGTAAGGAACGCAAACCCTGCTTCCCATGACCAAATTCCCCAAGGCTCAATTGTTCTAGTATTTGAGGTTGATAGAAAATAACTGTCTGGTTTCTCTCCTATGCCTGTAAATGATTATAGGCCTCACATTTCTAACCTCTCCTAATTCTGCCAGTAACAGCAATACAGCCTCCATGTGGTAACCCAGTTGTTCACATCCGCAACTTCTTTAATCTTTGTCCAAATTCCCATTTTTGCCAAAGAATGCATCAGGCAGCAAGATAAGACTCAGGGAAATGTAACCCTTGCCCCAAATAACCTGTCATGAACTGTAATGTTTTATCACAAGAACTGTACTTTGCACAGTTGTGTAAAAGAGCAACCATCTGCCTGCCAAACCTGCAGCTCTCCCACGCTCCGTGGCTGACACCAGGATTCCCAGGTTTTGCCTGTCCGATTGCTGCTGCCAGCTGGTTCTTTCCAAAGCCATGGCTGTTGGGCAGCAGCACCAAGGCAGCATTGTTGGGCTTGTGCCCTGCCCGGATCCATGCTTGGTACAAAGAGAGAGAAGAGGCTGCAAGGTTCCCTCAGTGCAGGCTGTTGGGAGCATACAGCAGCAGAGCAAGAAGGAAGAACAGCAGATACAGCTGAAAGATTCCGTCCTTAAAATAATTCGGTCTAATGCTGGTTATAAGCTCCCTTTTAGTGTACATATGTGTGCAGGTTTTCGTCATATGGATCACTCCCTGAGAAACCTGTGTTGTTCTCAAATTTCTGATGACTCCAGTGTGCTTTAATCTTTTTCGTAAAACCTGTGTAATTCTGTGGCACTCCACCAAGGAAAGGCTTTAACTATATCATGAAAGAGTTGTTCAAAATCCCAAGCAGAAACCTGTGTATTACTGCATGTAACAGAAGATTGAATTTATTAATAAGCCTAAACATGTTCCAGGCATCTCGAGTGAAAAATGCTGTTAGCTAGCTCAGCAAACATTAGTGAGGCTGAACTGCCAATCTCCAAATAGACTGGCTATATCAAGAAAGATGACATGGGCCTTCCATTTAATAGTTCAGGTACTTGAATAATTTTACATTCCATTTTTATCTTTCTTTGGCAGCTTGTATTTCTGGATACAGCTTCAGGTACTGAGAAATGGGTGGAATATAAGCTGAGTAAGTCTGCTTTTTCCCAGTGAGAAACTGAGTTATGTGAGGGAACAGCTCCCATCAGCTGTCTCCCTGCTGCTTCCACATGGTGCATAAACACCACTATTGGAAGTAGCTATAGATCATGGGCTGCAGTGTCTTTGGTGGTCTTATCACGCTTGTTTCTCAGCCTTTGTTGCTGAAAGATGCGGTCCTAAATGATCCAGGAGGTTGTTGAGAGGTAAGAGACAGATTGTCAGAGACAAAGATGCTACAACTTGTATTTCTGGATACAGCTTCAGGTACTGAGAAATGGGTGGAATATAAGCTGAATAAGTCTGCTTTTTCCCAGTGAGAAACTGAGTTATGTGAGGGAACAGCTCCCATCAGCTGTCTCCCTGCTGCTTCCACATGGTGCATAAACACCACTATTGGAAGTAGCTATAGATCATGGGCTGCAGTGTCTTTGGTGGTCTTACCACGCATGTTTCTCAGCCTCTGTTGCTGAAAGATGCAGTCCTAAATGACCCAGGAGGTTGTTGAGAGGTAAGAGACATTGTCAGAGACAAAGATGCTACAACTACAACTGCACAGGCATGTGCAGCTCTCAAAGGGATGGCTAAGTGCTTTGGAAACACCTCAGTAGATACTACTTGACATTTTAGGCTTCTAAACATATTGGAAAAGTAGCTTTCTCTTGGAGTTCTTTTTGTTCACCTTATCACATTATTGCTCAATCCTTGAGCCAGGCTATATAATTACTGTCAAGCTGCAGATGGCTATTAGGAGAAGCCTGCAGGACACATAACAAAGAATTAAAGTGTCTGCAGCAAAACTGCACAGGTAAATTTACATGTTTGGGCTTGAGATTTTCTAACAGCTCATTTCCACTTAAAGAGGTTCTGTGCCCTTCTCCCTGTCCTCCTTCTGCCTTGGCCTATCTCCCCATACATGCACTGACTTGTGTTTTCTGACCCTGCACCAAGCCAATTCTAATTACTGGAATTGGGGAGAATATTAAACTGGAGAAAAGGTGAATCATTTGTGATAGCATATGGAGTTGAGTCAAAGCATGAATGTACTGATGAGCACAGAGCTAATGCAAAGGATGTGGCTGGATCTGGGTCTAGGGAAAGGAAGAGGAGAAAAACGAAACAAGAGTTTTACAGCAAGGGAAATGTGGTTAATATTCTTTGTGGTAAAGTGCCACTACTCCTGAATAACAAATGGCCAAATTCTGTTCATGTGCAGTCCAGCATCATCCTGCATATATATGTTATCCTTGTCATTATGGTTTTGCCTTTCACAGCGTGGGTCTCAGTGGATAAAGCTGGGACTGCAGTGTGGCAGATCAGTGAGACACCAGCAAAAAGGCTTTGCTCTGAGGGAGGGTGGTCAATAGTAGTGGCATATTTTGTCAACTTGCCCCTCAGCTCTCTCCAGGTGATTATGTCTCTTGCCAGCTCCATGGGACTAAGGTAGGCTTGCTTTCTCCTTTTTTTTCCCCTCATTTCTTAGCTGCTTTTTTCCCCCATCATAAATTCTGAAAACAGATCAGCTTTCCATCTTCCTCTCAAAAATCTGTAGAAGAGCAAGACAGCAAATAAGTAAATGACAATGAAACGTACTCCCCATGAAAGATTTGGCATAATTCAGTTGGAGGAAAAGGAAGAAAGTCAATGGTTGGCAGCAAGTAGTAATCACTCCAGCATTTCAAAGTTTTTTCCAGATAACTGAAGACATTTTCTGTTTTTGTTGAAGTGAAAGACAATATTTCCATTGGCTGCAGTTGGGGCAGTTTTAATTCCTTAACTTTTGAATCATCCTGTTTTTCAATCTAAAATAATGTAGTATGATATTCTTTCAAAACTGGGTCAGTTATCTGATGTGTGGATTCATCATTCACTTTGACACTTACCTGATTATATCCTCATTCTTCTACTGAGGTTAGTTTAAAAGAAAAGGCACCTCCCAAGCTATCCTCCCTTGAAATGTCACCTGAGGCTTTCTTGTTCACTTTTTAAGCTCTGTGGGAAGTACAGCTTCAGCCCTATTATAAACAAAACACAGCAAGAACTCGTCTTCCTCACGCAACATGTCTTGGGGTGAACCCAGCAATGATTCACTCTGGCACCCTGTTTTGGTTGGGCAGGTGCAGTGGCAGGAGCGTGGGAGCATCAGTTGCATGGGCAATTAATGCACAAGGGCAGTTCATGCCGAAACACAGGCTGTGCGTGCTGGGAGCAAGGCAGCTGCCTGCACATAAACTGCAGAGGGTGGCCAGGATATCCACCCAGGGCTGAAGACACAACACATCTGTGGACTTACTGGACCTCCGTGCCCTCTGCCTTGTGGCTGGAGGCTGGGTGCAGTATGCCAGGCACTCAAGAGGGCATATACATGTGAAAACCTGCATCTTTCTTGAAAGAAACACAGCCTAGAGCTGATGTGTTAAGAAGTCATGGGTGAAAGAGCTAACCCACACAGAGAAGGTACTTGCTGGTTTTCCTTTACATATTCTCCTCTGAAACCTTTAAATGCATTATGGTTTCCACTTTTTTTTTTTTTTAAACAAATGGGCTATTTGTGCTGGTTTTTTCCTTTGGTATAGCATATTGGACCTCTTGGCAGCCTGAAGGTCAAGGTTCCCATGTTGCAGTTGCCACTGCCTTACAGGCAGCTCTCAGCCCAGTGCTTCTGGTTGCACAAATGCATCTCTCATGTTTTGTCTCCTGGAAAACTGGAGGAATGGTCCACCTTCAAGTGGACAGATTAACCAAAACTCAAGGAAAAATATGTCCTTCAGGTGGACAGATTTCCTTTGAAGAAAGTAGTTCTTTTCTTCTTTGTCTGTGCATGTAGGCGTTGGACACACTGGTCTGTCCTGGCATAGATCAGAGGCAATTTCAAGCTTTCAACTTCATATTTCCCTATGATACCTTCAGGAACTCTTTGTAGTCTGTGCAAATGCATCCTACAGTCAGTCAGTCAGCCTGAGAACACTGGTGTAACTGTGCCCAGTGAGTAAAAAATGTGGATTTTCTGGGGTTGAGCTGAAATATGCTGCTCTCTGAAACGTCATCTTTTAGGGTTGAGGGGAGAACTTTCAGTGAGGTTAAGAGTACTGCCACAGTAAATGCAGCTGGACATGGCTATCTCACACAGGCTGGGGACACAAAGACATGAAAACTAGGTTTTCACAGCTTGCTTAAGTCTGCATTTTTTAGTTAATCATCTGGGATTACTGAGTCATAGAACTCAGCTGCAGCTGACTTGAACTTTGAGAATAATTACATAAAATATTACATTTTTAATTTCCTTTTCAGAGCTGTACTGGGAGTCAGTTCAGTAAACAAAAGAGGGTGTAGAAGACCAGTGCTAATAAAAATCCTGCCTAGAACCTCTTTAAGAAATCTCATTTGTTCCCGTGTACGGAATGAAGCAGGGATCTCTTGAAAGGAGCATAATGCAGTTGTCTAATTAAAAAAGTGTATCATCATATGTACACAAAAGGATGCGACATTAAAGGCAAGTTTAATTCTGTTGCTTCTTGATATTAAAGGTATTGACTTTGCAATAACAGTTGTCTTTCAGTGCATGACCATTTTTGTTGGGTGGTGTGTGTGAATAACCTCATAACCTCACCTTCACAAAATTGGGAAGGTGAAAATGCAGGCCTCCTATGAATACACCACTCATGTTGTCATTTGTGCTCTCCTCAGTGAGTTAGGATGCTTTTGCTTCATAACACATCCTCTGCCCTTTGAACTGCACTGAGAGATAGGCTGCTCCTCCCAGGGAGTCTGTGCCAAAAGGATGCTAAGACATCTGTGTTCTCATTGCCTTGACACATTATCTGCTGATAAATGAAACTTGCTTATTCCCAACTCCAGAAGAAGCCGAGATGAACTGAGCACAGAACTGTCTGGTATTTGCTTTTCATAATTTCTTTGTGATAAGTTGTATCTTGTGCTGATGCATTGGCTCCCTGTGCTGATCCTTGCCTTGGAGCCTTCACAAGAGCATAAAGCTGGCCCAGCAGAGCAGCTGCAGTGTTACTGTGCGGGGTAACATCTCTCAGTCCCTGCTTGGTTCATAAACCTCCACAGACTGGAGGAGCAGGGCCCCCTCAGCACTTCCAACCCATATTTGTTGTGTCCTTGGAATCTGAGGAGTTTCTTACATATGTCGTGCAACCCTCACCTTTTCAAGTGGGAAATTCTTCATTAAATTCATAGTTACTGAAGAGCTTCCCAAGGGAGCAGGAGTAGTCTTGTCAACCTAGGAAACAGCATGTTTCCCACCTGGTCATGTTCTCATCAGTGACTGAACCCCTCCATAAAGAAGGTGTATTTTACGTCTTTCCTTGTCCTCAGTAATGACAACTATTTTTGTCAACATTTCCTAATGATGAGCACTCTTAGTGATACTAAGAATGAAAATTTTCAGCTGTATGGAAGTTTTCAAAGTCAAATAAAGAACTTCAGGGGAGAACGACTGGACACTTTTTCCTGTAAACACCCATGCTGGATTTGTATATGGTACCAATCAGAAAACACTAAATTATTAATTTCTGTCCTGATTTCATCATTCCTTAAGACATAGAACATGATTTTGCCCACTGTAAAATAAAGACAATAGCTGCTATTCAGTTACATATTGTACTTGTGAAGGAAGCAAGTTTCTGCATCTCAGATTTCTGCATTTTTTAAGCAGACTTGCTGTCCCACTTGCACACACACTTCTTCAACACCTACAGAGCTGCTCAGTAGCAGAATCCAAAACAAAATTAAACCTGAGAGAGGAATCAGAAGATAGAAATTGTCCTAGTTGATGGAGAAATACGCAATTGACTGCACAAGGATGTAGTTTATTTTAAATATTGTCATCCTTTTGAAACGCTAAGAGATCTAAAAGTAGATACTGCAACTTTGAAATGGAACATTGCTATTTGTGGGGATGGTACCAAAAGTAAATGTAATTGCCAAAAATACACAGAAATATTTAGTTGCTTTTCAGCAAGCACTGACCAAGTAAAGGATCCAGCTGTATGTTAATTAGTGACCCATGACTAGGGCCTTTGCTTCTGAAAGTTTAACACCACTATTTTATAACAAAACCATAAGATGCTACATTTTAGAAAATACTGAAATGACCACATTCCCTGTTCTCTCTGTCAACCTGAACAATTCCATCTGAACTAAACAGATGTTTAGTTTAGCTGTTCTCATGCCCCCCTAAAATCTCAGCTCTCTGCTTAGATCTGAGGCTGCTTGCAGTTTAAAACAATTTAAATTTGTAGATGCATTTTATGTATTGTCATTTGGCCATACTATGATTATATATAATCAATATGGGGTGTTTTCAATGGTAAGTTACATCAATATGTGGCAGCAGTGCTGTGAAAATCAGGTTTCCAATTCCTTGGAATTTCTGATTCAATATGATGCTATTTGAAATAATCTAAAAATATCAAATATTCTGTAAGAAAATAAATGAACAAATCCTTTTATCAATTCATCTTGGTTTTCTGTTGATGTATCACCAAATGAAGCCAGAAAGATAAGGGATTCTCTTTTTTTAGAGAAAATTAATTCATTTCTTATCTTTGGAAAAATTTGGCTGGTCTCTATCCTTAAGTGATGTCATGTTATATCTCTGAGCTAATAAAAAGACCAGTGACTCAGCATCTGTAACTTATAATTCAATCTCAGGTGAAAAGTTTGAACAGCATGCCAATATTTCATCCTAATGTTAATGTATTATCTTCAGGAGAGGCCAAGGGGAGCCTTCTGGAATACATGAATACATTTAGCCATTATTATTTTGAAGTCCTCTGCTTGTTTTTCAGGTGGCACCTGTTATTCCTAAATGACTTTAATTCCTCATTTGGATTGACAGATCAAATTTGCCATCAACTCTGCCACTTCCCTACCAAAACTGGTAGGAAGCATACTAAAACAGAAAAAAGGATAATTACAGCAAGAAGTATTTTCTCTTCTGTCTGGTGGGTTGGTTTATTTTAATCTTCTGCACTATCAATTATTTCCAAAACTTTCAAGTGGAAAATGCAGATGTAAACAGAACTTTGGTATTCCACAGAACACAGCTTGCACAGTTTCAGGAGAAAAAGTAGTTTCAGAAATTAAACTCAGGTGACTTTTTTTAAAATTGCACTTCAAAGTTCTGGGGAGAAGGGGGGTGCACAGAGATAGGGGACAGCCTCAAAGTATTTATGGGAAGGTCACCGTGCAGCAGCAACGTTTTCCATGAGTTCACCAGCACAGGGCCAGGCTAATTCAGGAGCCCTCTTGGAGCAAGGGCACCTTGTCTGGGTCTCTCTTGCCTGTGTCACTGAGCAGCATCACGTGTGTCATGGTATGGTGCAGCTCAAACCTACTAATTCTTTTTGCAGAGGGAAGAGCAAGAGTTTGTCAAGTTGTTTAGTCACTACTAAATTGAAAGAAAATAAGACAAAAAGCTCTATATACTGTTTCCTGAGGGTTGCCATGAGGTTTCCATGCAATGCAGGCAGCTGATTGCTTCGCTTAGCTTTTCACAAAACTGGTGACTTGTCTGAAGTGAACGTTTTCAGAACCTCCTCTCCTGGCACTTTCAGTTTGCATTCCAGTTCTAACAGCTGCTCCTTGAGGGTTGTATGACTTGGGTGGGCCAGTTGCAGAAGCAGCTATGCCCTCCACATTCTTGGAGAGAAGGCTGAAAAGGATTGCTCTGCTAGGGCTGAGAGAAGTTGGTTCAGGAATGGAATTGTATTTTTAAGCTAACATGTGCCAGAATTGGTACTAAAAGATACAGTGTTGCCTCCCTCCTGCTCATTCCTACCCTCTCCCTTGAGTTTGCACAAGCTTGGTCTGAACAACCAAGGAATTAATCCAATTAATTAATTAATCATCCAATGAGAACAAAACCACAGCTGTAATCAGGCTTGGGGTTGTGATGTGTTTTTCCATCCAGCCATGTGGATGTGTGTGCCCACAGGAGGGCACAGATACAAAGAGCTCGAGGGAAGGGAGAGAACTGACTCTCAGGGGACCAGGGAGGAGGATGCAGGGTGGTCTCTGGGAGCTTGTGCAGGGTGAGGTTAAGTGGGATGGCTGAGCCTGGGGGATGGCTGTTAACCTGGGGACAGTGGCACCGACCTGCAGCAGAGCTCTGTGAGTGTTTGTGAAATTTTTCTGATCCTTACTTCCCTGTGCTGAGATGGTGCACATATGAACACCAAGCCCCATGCCACAGCATGCCACAAGCAGGAAGGAAGTGCTGGAGCAGCATGAGCAGGAGCCCTCAGACAGCATTTCCCAGGCAGCCACAAAAATTGCAGAGATGGGCATGTGGCAGCCTAGGATGACTATGCAAAATGGTGTGTGGGACATGCTGGGAGGTGCCCCTAACCCTGGAATTTCACCCACAAGGTAAGTCATGAGCATTTACTGTACAACTATGTGTTCAGGACGACTTTTCACAATGAAGTTGCATAAAATTCACTTCTTTGTGTGTTGAGAAACCAAGTCAGAGTTGTGGAGCACCTCTGTGTCTACACACCAGCCCATAGCAGGGATTTTGCAGGCTAGCTCCAGGGCTGGAGAAACAGGCATGTGGAAACTTGGGCTGTCCTAAAAAGAGGGCATTGCAAGAAAAAGTTTCAAGGTCCTTTACTAGTAAATTGTTGTTTTTTCTGTTTTGCAATACAGGACAACTAAATATTCTGATCTTGTTGAAACCAATGTATCTCTTTCATCTTTCTTTCATCACCTTCTTTCTTTATCTCTGACTACAAAAATATACATTAATTCGTGGAAAAGCTTACAAAAACCAAAAACGTAATTGAACTAATTTAACCTTTGTGGAAGAGGGCAACTTGTTGGTACTTGCTGTCAACGTGCATTGATTCTATCTGGTGGGAAGATGGTGGCGACACCAGCATTGAGGTGCCTTGCTCTAACAACTCACACATGTACAGGGGCTGTGGAGCAAATGGAGAGAGCTCAAAAAAGTGGTAGAAAATGTAGCATCTTCCTCTGTGAAAATATGCATAAATATATTTTTGTTTTCTCACTCTTCCCGTTAGGAAGATTTTTTGATTTTTCAGCCTAGCATTCAGATGAAGGAAGACTCAGCAATCACAGTGTCCATCCATCTGTCCTACTCTAAAAGCTTTGAAACCAACCACAACTCTTTAACATCATGAAGTGACACAGAGCTCAAAAGAATTACAGTAGGATTCATTTCACCTAAGTTTAGACCTCTGTAGTACCAATGTCTTCATCTGAGATAATCCCTTTGGTTGCCCTTACAGTTAGTGGAGCCCAGCTGGCATGTTTAACCATGATTCAAATGACCTGATTTAGATGTCTATTTTGGGATGGGATGAATCATGGACTAAGAGTGCCTTTCTCTCCTTTCTGCTTCGTTAGGATGACCATCTGAGATAAAGAATAGTGAGATTTTCTGCACGACTTCTGAAGACCGCCTCTACATAAGAAAGGAAATTTAATGAGGCCAAGCTGAAGTGCGTGCTCACCCGCAGTGGTTGTGCCACTCACTGTGGATATCAGGCTGCGAGACAGAACATGTCCCTTGTCAGGGAGCCCTTCAGCTAGATGGTATTTAGAGGTCATGAGAGGAAACACGCTGAAGAAGTACAGCTGAGGTGAGGAGAAAGTCATAAAAATGTTTAGGAGAGGTTATTGTGTTGGGCGGGTAAGAAAATAAAACACAAGTTCAAAATAAACCAGGCGTCACCAGGTTTACTGTTTGTGGAATTAAATGATTATTTCCAGGAACTCCCCACAATTCTGTGTGCTGTGACTGCTCAGATAAAACAACTTCTAAAATAACCCTTTCAGTATTTAGAGGTCAAGCCCTACCTCTGATCAGCTTATGATGCAATTTAGTAATTTTCCATTTCCAAACGGATAATTTTCAAACATGTGCTTGTGATGCTTTTTCTAAGAAGCACTCTCTATTCTCTGAAAAAGTAATTGTAAACAGCTCATAGCCACCTAATTATTTTCTCTCAAAGTCCTCAGGCCCACTAAACTCTTGATGATGGTTGAGTGGTTGCTATCCTGAAACTGCTGCCTCAGATTGATTGTTTCTGTTTCCTGTTGCTTTCTACCTCATGGCTACCAGTCCAAGTGCTCCTGTTCAGACCTTTTCTTTGTTGAGCACAATGAAAGTGTTAGTCAACACATCAGCCTATGTAAGGTAATGCAAGTAAATAAATGTCACTATATTACTGTACTAGTTCTGTCCTGAATGTGTGAATGTTAGTGGTGTTCCTTCTAAACTGAAGGGTCTGGAAGTTGTTTCAACAATGTCTCTAGAACATGATGAGACCTGCAAAGTTGCCTGGTTAAGCTGGGCACTCAGTTGTTTGTGGAAGGAAATTGAGAAGCAGGATCGAGCTGTACCTGCAGAAGGGGCAGCCACAGACAACAACACAAGGAGGAAACAAAAGTGAAGAATGTGCCACATCATTTGCTGATCCCTGTGATACCGTTGAATGAAAAGAGTCACCTTAATAACCTTGGTAGCAATTTGTGCTTTGTCACAGTGACTCTCAGCCTTTTGTAAGGCAGGGTGTTATTCAAGACTGGCCTCAGTGAAAATGCAGTTGCTCCCATAAGCATATTCTTGTCTTAGGATCACTTGTTAATGCATATTTATTTAGTAATTTACTTTCTGGGAGCAATTCAATTCATGTTCACTTTTTCATTATCAGCAAATACTCATTACCCTGTTTTTCAGAAGGCACAAATGAGACAGCAAGTGAGCTAGTTGCTAGCTTAAAGCCATGGAGTGGGTCAGTGAGTCATCAGCAGAGCAGTTTGAATGTCAGGCAGGTTTTGTTTTGTGTTTCATTCCAGCAAAAACAAAAGAATGCAGCTGGGAGAAAAAGTTCAAAACAAATGAACTGGAACAATCACTCCCAAGCTGATCTTGACCAGAATTTGGTCCAGAGTCCAATGCTGCATGATGATCAGTGAATGCCAGATCCTCATCTTAACGTCAAAAGCTTTGTTCTCCATAAAACTCTGGCAAGGTTGCTGTCTGCTGTCCATGATACCTCTGTTTGGGTATCCTCATCTTCCTCATGGCACAGTGGAAGCACTCATGGCCCAGGTGACATCCTTGTTGCCATTCTCTTGCAGAAGAACCAGAGGTCTTCTGGTCATGGTATAAATGAACCTTCAGCATTTTCCAGTCTGACTGCTTCTGTACATGTCCTTGGTTATTAATACTGACCATTTCTTTGAACTCATTTTACTGTTTTTTTCTGATGTTCTTGAACACATGAACTACCATGTCACCCATAACTCTCCATAAGTACAATTTTTGTCCCCGAATGCTGAAGAAGGGCCACAAGGCTGTCTTCCCGGGATTTTCTGGCAAAACACAAGTAAGCCAGAGTTAGGGAAATTTGAATGCAGTCTCTAGAGCTACCTGTGTGCACATGTATTTGTTCTGCACTAGCCTGTTAAGACTGGAGAATGTGAACTGTTGATGGGCATATTTCAGGTGAGTGAAACAAAGCATGAGAGCTTCTAAAATTAAAAGACACAACAGCCTCAAAATGAAACTCCTAGCCAACAAAATTTTCAAGGGCAGAGAAAAGCAGGTAATATCAAGATAGAGGCTCTTAAATTAACATTCCTACACGCAGGTAAAGATAAATATGCTTGCTGTCTATATTTTGACGGTGGAGATCAATAGGTCAGTGGAAACCAGTGGTTTGATTCATTTGCCTAAATATTTAGTGCCTTTGGACAAATTTAAGAAGTCTGAGATATGCCTGGCACCTAAAACATAAGGGAAACCCTCAGCCTTTTGGGATGGCTGGATGCCAGACAGGACACCCATCCAGCACACAGGCAATGCTGGACATTTATGTGTGAATCTTGTTTCAAGCCAATACTGTCAGTAAAGCCTAAGGAGCAACTTGGGTTATCCTACAGTAGGACTTGTGGGTGACTGAATAAATCACTTTATGTGCCTGCATTGGCTGACAGTGTACCTTTGACTGTACTGCCTGTAACTGAAGGTTTAATATCTAGTACATATATAGATGTCTAAATTTATGCTTCCTGACCTTGGGTTGTCCTCAACCAAGTGTTTCAAAGGACCAGTGGCAGATATGAAAGAATTTAGCTTACACAGCAGCTAATACCTGCAACTCCTCAGCTTCATGACTTGCATGACTGATCTGGCCTTTTTAAGTGGTCTGCCCTTCCAAAGAGATATGATCCTATGGGAATTCTTTGAACACTTACTTCTCATATGAACAGATCCCACTTCTGGGTAGTGACCCAAAGTGACATATCCTCCTGCTCTGCTTCTGCTCCATGCAGTCTCTTTGCTGTGATTCCCTGCAACAATTTCCATCCAGGAGACAGGTGTATCTTTTGTTTCAAAGGAATTTGTGAGAATAATTCAAGCTGCTGCTAACATCTTTGGTGTTACAACTCACATAACACCTTAAGAGAGCTCTGCATTGATTTTTAATACATGATTTATGATCTTCGCTTTCATTTTTTCAGCTCTGTTAAGATTCCTTTGTAATCTAAGTGCTGTGCAGACATTCACCTGGTCTACCACATCTGTTCCTCCTTCACAAGAGCTGATCTGTTACTTCTGACAATGTGGCCAAGGTGTCCTTTTGCCAGAACTTGTTTGACACCAGCAATGAAGCAAAGGGACCCTGAAATGTCACTGAGAGCCATTTTGGTAGCTTCAGTGCATTTGCTGTTGTTCCACTGAGTGTGATCTAATGGAAAGCAAAATATTCTTATTATAGCAAACCATAATTCACTGGCTGAACTCTCAAGTGTATGCAGTGACCAGCATAACAGCTTCAGAGCAGCAGCTGGGCCAGGAATCTGTTGGCTGCGCCATTCTCCCAGCAACATAGGAAATAACTGTTTTTCCCATCTGCTAAATGTCAGTAATTTAAAAAATGTGTTCATATTGCACTGGGATGAAAGCAAAATATGTTCTTGCAAGAATTTGTCCAGCATTTAGCAGACTGGCTTGGGAAGCTAAAAAGAAATGTATTCCCTACCCTACAAGGGTGGTAAATAGTAAGTTATATATTCAAAATTGGAACAGCTCTGACAGAGGAGACTGAAAAACTTTGAGATAGGTCGATGGTGAGATCATGTATCTGCAACATGCAAACCAAGTCCCTGGTGTGAGCCAAAACCATGAAAGATGTATGTCCTCCCCAAACAAGACTGTGTCCTTTTCCCTGTGAAAGCAGGGATGGTATTCTCTTGTGGTGATCACAAATTCATTCTGAATCCAACAAATATTTCCCTGATGCTAATGTTGTCAAACCTCATGCACCGTTGTGCACTTTGATTTCAGCAAATGGGAATTTTTTCACCCTATCCTTGTTGAATTGCACTCTGCTATTTCAGGCTCATGGCACCAGCCTGCTGGGATTATCCAAAGGTGTGAATCTCTACTCCCAGGATGTTTATGGACGATAGATGGACATGAGAGAAGGGGCACTGGGCAGACCACGGCTGAAATACACATTTTTACATGACGCAATAACTCTTGACTTGAATGCTCTTCCCCTCTTTCTCCCGCGTCCCCGGAGCCGCCAGCAGTGCTGGTTGAAAAAAGCACTTGCTGGCTTTCCCTCCGCTGTCCCCCGGTCAGTTTCCCGGTGGGACAGCCTTGTCCCCCGGCCGCAGCACGGGGCTGGCAGGGACGCGTCGGCTCCGGCTCTGCCGCGGGCCCGGCCCCGGCTGTCCCCGCTTGCCGCCCGCGGGGAGCCCGGCGCATCCCCGGCCTCTGGTGCCCTCCAGCGTCTCCTTCCCGGAACAATTCGGGAGTGCAAAACGCTTTAGAGATCCCGCGTAGAGTGATGATCCTTCGGGATGCGTGAGCGTCAGGTGCCGAATTGAGGAGTGAAACGAAATTAACTGGGCAAGCCTTGTGCCCTTGACTAAAGGCAAGAAATAGAAGCGCCCAGCTGACGTTAAGCCAGGCTGAGAAAAACAAGCTTTGCTGCGGTCAGTAAAGCAACATGGTGTTCCTGGTTATCTGAGTAACAATTTGGAGAGTGGCTTTATCAAAGATATTCCCTGCATAACCATTTCCACCGTAGTTAAAAGGTGGCATTCCCAACACAGAATGAGAAATCGTGATTTGTTCTGTGGCTGCTTTCACTGAAAAGAACACAAGTTGCAGACTGAAAGACCTTTAATCTGAATTTATTATCTTCCTTTAGAGAAGTAACTTCAGTAAATTTACCATTTGGCTCAGGATAATCCCATACACAAATAACACAAAACAAAAGCAGTCTGTTTGATTTGGCTAATTCTAATTAAATTCAGCAGAATTCTGACCCTACTCAGCTATTCTCACATCACTACAGAATCAGAGAGTCACAGGACAGGTCAGGTTGAAAGGGACCACAGAGGGTCATCTGGTCCAGCCTCCTGCCTAAGCAGGGTCATCCTAGAGTACCTGCTACGGGATTGTGTTCAGATGATTCTTGAGTGAGGGAAACTCTACAGCTTCTCTGGGCAACCTGTTCCAGTGCATGGTCACCTGCACAGTTCAGTTCTTCCTCATATTCAGGTGGAATTTCTTGTTCTTCTTAGGAATTTTACTTATAAAATACATGGTGTCCTTCAAATGAAAAAAGAATATGGTGCCATAGGACTGAGTAACATTTAGCTTGAAAACAAGCAGCACACCAATTTATAGGCCCCTACATACTGGGTTTAAGTTCCTATAGTGGACACCATAAATCTGTGCAAGACCTAGTTCTAAATTATGGATAGTTTACAGAAAACCAGCTTTTGCTAAGTAAATATTTCACTCATATTATTTAACTGTTTTTGAAGGGAAAAGATGACATAATAAGCTCTAAAATATAACTACAATACAGAAAAATAAGTTTTCTCAAGCCCTTAAGTAACAAGGCAAATAGAAGAAATAAAAGATCCAGATAGTTTCTGCTTTAATTCATGTTTACTTTAGCAATGCTGGCAAATAATGCATTTGTCAAGACTTGCTTAAAATATTTTTGTTTTTATATCATAGTCTAATTGTAGTCTAATTCCAGCAGTTTTTACGAGACAGACTCATGTCTTGACTCTTCAAAACCATCCTTAAATTTTGAAGCAAAACCATCCCTTTTGTTTCCTCAAAATCCTCATCACTATTCAAGGCAGCCAGGACTGTGGATGTATCAGCATACACACAGGTCAGCCATTCACTCTGGACTGCAGTGTGGAGAGC